ACAAAAATGCACATTATAATAACATGCACCATATGTATGAGCAAATAATAAACTTCAGTGAGTATGGATGAGGGAGTGAAAAAGTTACCTGAAAAGCATCAGAACCATACAGAAAAATTAAATGAAAAGATGGGATGCGGAATCTTATTTTACAGTCTTTTTAAAAAAATGGCTGACGACAAAAGCCAAATTTTCCATAAAAGAAGGTCTTACGTTAACCTTCAGAGTATCTAAATAAAGACTGCAGTTGGACAAGACAAACCAAGCCACTCCACAGCTTCTGGTGCGTAAAGGGACATTTCCATTATCTCCTACTCTTCCTTTTCTCTCTGCTCCTAGCTTACTCCATGTTTTGTACTCGCGCAATTTTGGCAGTAGAAAACTAATGCAGAAAAAGTGTCATTTTCTGCCAGGTTAGCGGGCAGAATTGCCTCACCAAGGGGGTCAGACCAGTGCCAGAGCCAGCAGAATACTGAAAGTCAGTGAAACGGAGTAGGAGGGGGCATGCAGCTAGGGGCATGGGAAGATGCATTTAGAAGCCTAAATTCAGACATTTGTTTAATTGGCTGTTATTTTGGTGCTTGTAGTCACTCTTATTTGTAAGGAACATTCACTCTGCTTAAACCACCTACATCAGAAGTTTGTATGGAGAAAAAGTAAAAAGAAGGGGCAAAGAATCAGCCATTCTTTTTGTAAACAAAGTCATTCAAAATTATCCAAAGAAAAGAAACAAAAGCACTTTAACTTATTTTTGGAACTGTTTCTTTTGCTCCCCTGAAAGAATATGGAACATATGGTTGACACTGGACTGAGCTCAGTTGGTGTTATTTGAGACGATGCAGGTTGCAATCTACCGAGAAGAATCTGTACTTTTAAGCACATATAAAAATTGACATTTGGTGGGATCTTGTTTATGCCATAGATTTACTCTCTCAAATCACGTTACGATCGCTATGAATAACTCATGTGTCCACAGAACGTACATTTCAATAGAAGCACAAAAGCGGTCCCAAGATTCATCTCTCAAGGTAACATTTCAAAAGAAATCAACATAAATTCTCAAGCATACAGTTGGAAGCAGTATCTCTGTGACATTTGTATTAGTTCCATGTAATGTTAAGTGCTACCTACATATCCAAAACATGTCTTCAACACTGACCTACAAGGAGCTCGGTACATGCTCATTCTTCCATGAATGAAATGCCTGGGCAACACATTCTTGAGAGACTCCTGTGGTATGGACAGGCTTAAACTCACCCTGCACAGCAGGATTAATTTGCTAACAAGCACAAAGCTGATGACTGGGCTTCAGATTCACTCAGAATTGACAGTAGTTTTTACCTTGGCTCTGTCATGTTCAAAAATCATTTAACAAGTCTCCTGTGGATTTGGTTTCTTTTAGTCTTAAGCAAGTCCAATTTTGATTTGTTTAGGGGTATTTAATCTGTTCATTCTTCAAGTTTTTTTGGTTGAATTATATTTTCTGAGAGGTACCAAAGTGGAAATATTAGCCCGCCCCCCCCCCCCCCCAAAAAAAAAAACAACAAAAAAACAGAAAAAATAACAAGCTATGATGAAACTCTCTTTGACTTTGTCTTCACTAGCTAAAAGAGATGTGATCTTCAGTAAATTAGCGTTGGATAAAACTCTAGTGAAAATAAGAGGTGTTAAGTTTTCTCTGTTAGCAGCTAAAAACTGTGGAGTCCTATACAAACATAACTTACCATGGCCACTTATGGAGGATCAGGGATGAGACGCACAGTTTGTGGAGGTCATCTGTAGCAAGAAGAGAAGGGGATATAGAGTAAGGAGTCCAGATTTAGGTTTATCTGCAATTGTAAAATTGCAAAGTAATTTATGAAGTTATGAACCTGTTTTCCTCAAGTCCAAAATGGACACAAGTATTTATTCGGTGATTATTGTGAAGTTTGCTTATCTGGGCACTTGTCTTGCAAACACTTTAGGAGTACTTATGATGTTGTCATAAGTCTCTCACCCCAATCTCTACAGTATTACAAGTTTTCAGAATTCCAAGGGCAAATTTCTCTTTTGAAGTCTATTTGAAATCTATTCTATTTTGAATAGGCATTTTTTCCAATAAATCTTTTCCAAGATCAAAAAACAAAATGTCATCCTCTATACTCCAGCACATGCAGAATAAATTGTTTCCTGTGTCTTTTCAGCTCTCATCTACTTCTTGTTCCTAAAGGCAATTTTCTAATTATCTGACATTTTATGAGTCCGTTTTTTGGAGGAATGAACGTCGTCTCCAGCAGATTTAATTTCCGAGAGAGCTTAAATGGCACTGTAGCAACAACTGAAGTCAGCTGCGTCTTTTCTATCCACATTCACCCCAATTTTTTTGATTAACGTGTGAGAAGACAGCTATACAATTCTGTCTGCTGAAAGATGCTGTGTTAGTATCACTAGAAAATAGACCACTCTTGGTATTGGTCACCAATAACTAAACTCTTTTGCCATCTGCTCACTACGTCATACTATCTTTGTAACTCCAGTCAATTAGTTTGACATTGCGTATACTTGAGACACATTTCGGGTATGTCTACTTCTTTCTGCTTTGTACCAGTTCTGTATAAGTGGATTAAAAACAAAGAAGTCATTGATCTGGCCTGTTAAGCTCCAGGAGAAGGCCGACTGGTTTTGTTTGTTGCGTTACAACATTGTCGGTAGCTTTAGGAGGCAATAGATACAGTGTAGTTACCTCTAGAGACACAGCGCAGTTTCGTCTACGTGTACTTGCAGAAGACCTAAAACAGACAAAAGCCAAAGAGTTGAAACAAAGGTAAAGATAATTAAAGAGTAAAGAAAATCAGGCTCTCTCAGATTATGACCTGCAAAATAGCAGTTTGTTTTGCTATGTGCTATGTGCTATGTTTGTTTTGCTATCTGCAGAGTTTGGAAATGAAGTCTAACACAGCAACCACGGAGCTCCTCTCCTGTATGCGTGCTTAAAAAGCCAACTTCTAACAAAAAGACTTTCCTCCTCCACTGTTGTCCAAACACAGCCTAAGGAGTAGCTGCAGATACAGAAGAGGGCAGCAGTTGCATTGTATGCGAACTGTCTACATGACAACAAAGGCAAAAACACCTCACTAAAACAAACAAGCTTTGAGAGAGGAGGCTGTATGGAAAGGGGAAACGTAAGCTTCACGGCAATGGCAGCGGACTCCATCATTGCACTTACCACCTGTGCATGGCCATTGCACCACAGGGTTTGCCTTTCCCTGCTCTTTTATAGCCTTATAAATTTTATCTTCCGGGAAGGTTCTTAGCCCCAGTATATTCAATCGAAAAAGCCTACCTATGACTCATCTGTTTGAGTCTGTAGATAATAATCATGGATTGGGGGAAGGGATAATTAGGTTGTTTTGAGCAAGACAGAGACTATCGCGTCTCCCAAGCCCTGAGAGGGCTGCTCTTGCCTCGCGGGGAACAGTAAAGAGGGCAGTAAGAGAAAATTAAGAATAGGCTGTAGCCTGGAGTTTACTGACTTAAACATGCTAAACTATTAAGTGGGGGGGGGGGGAGGGAGGCAGATGGCAAAATCTTCACTAGACTATCCCAAATAAAGTCAATTAGGTGGCAAAGGCTTGACAACTGTCTTCAGACATGGCAAGGTGCCTCCGAACCCCGGTTCTGAGAAACCCGCTGGAAGCCTGCCGGGGGGCCTGCGGTGCGGGCCTGCTCCACCTGAGGCCAGGTGTGCCCCGGCGGCAGCGCTTTGGGGGGATCCTCTGGGCCTTTTCCGCGTGTTTAATGGCTCCCCGCGCCCCTCCCCGCCTCCGGCGAAGCTGCTAGAAA